TGTATGTGATTATGTTGTAATCATTACCAAACCTGTATAAAAAACTCACTGTAACCTTACCAACTTGGAGCCTGTTTTCCCAGCACGAGCTGGCAGGCTGCCCGGCCGTTAATCAATAAATACCTTGACTGCTTTAGACATAAAACTTTGTCTAAACAGTTTTTTTATCTGCTCTTTTCTGGGCATCAGTATGCAAATGCACAAGAGTGAGACATTCTTGTAGTTATTTGGTTGTTTCTTTGGATATATTCAGAGAAGATCCATAAAATAAATAGGCTGAGCTGGACACTCATTCCCCAAAAGCTGGAGTCAGGGAGAATTGGCACCTAGGACTTCTCAGCAAGTGTTGCTTTTTTCATACATGGAATAGTCCCTCCTGTTCCTGCTGTGGGTGGCTGGTTGGAAGGAACATGAAATCCCAGTTCTGCTCCTGCCAAGGCTTTGCTGTAGTCATGCTCAGATCTTTTACCTCCCTTCCTGTCATGTGGCACAAAGTTTTTCAGGAGTGGAGATCCCTTTTACGACACCCTAAAGCCTGGAGGGGATGGAATACGTTTTCTGGAAGCTAACAGCAACCCAAGTGACAACCTGAGTTCTTCTGCATATTCCTTCCTATTCAGGGAGTTTCCTTTTTACCTCCTTGCCCACTCCCTGGACTGAGGGTTAAGCACAAGAAATCAAGTGCCACAAATCTACACCAAAAGGAAATCAGCATTTCCAAAATCAAGGAAGAGACCGTCGACTGAAGCAGGGAAATGAATATTGGATGATGTGTCAGAAGCTCTGTGGATAATGACTGAGTGTTGCCTGTGCCGTCATGAGTCATCTACTACTCATCATTGGTTTGCATGAACATTAAATCTACTCGTCCAGTTGTATTTTGTGAGTGAAAGTGCACACAGAGCACAAATAGCCACATGCTGTAACCACCAAATATCTCTTTATTTTGTGTGTTTCTTCCTTGGAACAAAGTCAGCAAGGAAGGAGAAATTATAAGCAGTGAAAGTATGTCATTTGTCAAAGAAAATGAGAATTTACACAATTGTTTTTCAGTTAGGAAAAAATAGTTCTAATAGCTCTGTTTCTTTCTATTTATAATTAGCTCTTGTTGCCCTAGAAAGATCATGTAACTGTTCTTTTCTTCCTGAGCATTCACTGTTTGTTTCTACAACGGAGTTCTCCATCATGATTCTTCCATTTTTTTCCTGATTTTTAGTGACAATCGTTAAGAAAAACTGAACTTAATCCAGTTTCTTTCCATAGACAGTGCTTCAAAGCTAAGAGCAGGAATGCTTCTAGCAGAAAGCACACTAATCCCAGTTCTCACTGGAAAACCAGGTGAGAAGGAACGTTTTTCAGCACGTTTCTGTGCTGAAAACTGCTGGTTTCCCTCTTCCTTTACATACCCTGTAGCAAGGGGACACATCACTTCCATTGCTGCCTCTGATGGAACCAATGTCTCTGTCATTTTTGGCATCTCTTCACTGCTTTGATCCCTGCCACAGCTCTGCATGTCCCAGAAAATCAACCTGTCATTGAGTCCAGTGCCTGCATTTCCTCATCTTCTCTGAGCTGCCTTTGACAGTAACCAGGGGTGTCAGGAAGCAGCTGTTTGTTTGCTGCTGCGGAAAACACCCAGATCATTACTTGAAGTTGCTGTTATTTTATCCAGGATCTCCTGTGCAGAGCTGTACCAGCACACACAGGAATTTTAGCACATGCCAGATGTGACTGAGTGTCTGTGAGCACAGTGAGCCTCCATCCAGTGCACGTGGGATTGATCCAATATCCTCAAGAAAGAGCTTGATTGATATCCTCAATCAAGGCTGCCATGGGATTCATCTGTGCGTCAGCAAGAGCTGCTTCCTCCAGGTGCCTTCAGTGAGACTCTTCCTCTCTGTTACCTCACTCACTAAATGAGATATTTCCCCTTTAAAGCGTTGGGTAAAAAGATCTGCGTGGTGTTATTAAAATAGATATATGAAAATACATTCAGTATGATCAGAAACTTGTTTTCCACGTGGCTATTAGAGCTGATGCTGTAAGACATTTGGAAGAAAGGAAGAAAGAAAGAAGACCTCTGATCTGGGATATAAATTAGTTATGACTACCAGAGTTTGGAATGAGATATTCCCAGAAGTCAAATCTACTTGCTGCTGTTGTTTCCGAGAAGTGGCTGATACTGGAGGAGATGCTGGACTAGAGAAAGTCAGAGTTTGATTTTTTCCTCCTCCTGTTCAGATAAGTCACCGTGTAGGAGATCTGGTGTGACAGCTCATAAACCCAGATAACTCGAAGTTCCTCGAAGAACTACCTTGATGTGGGTTGTATGTTTTAAGTCTTGATTGTGTTTGAGCTCTCCACACCTGAGCTGGAAAGGAACAGCAAGGGAAATGAAGAGTCAGAGTGAATAAAACCAGGGTTTGAGTGAATAAAATAAGGGTTTCACAGGAGCACCATCCTGGAATTGGGATTCAGTATCTGACTAAGCACCAGAAGTTCCCACTCAGTGTCTGGAGAGTCAGAAGTTTGTTACAGAGACTCAAAATCAGCAACTGGCCAAAGGATGGGACAAAGACAAAGGCTTTGAGGGATGTCAATTGGATCCCACCACCTAAATCCCACTCAGACTGTTTTGTTTTGTTTGGTCTTGTCACTCCAAAAAGAAACAGTGGAAAAAAATAACAGTAAAAAAATCCAGTGCTCAGTGTGGATATGGTGTAATCTGGAGCGTCTTGTTGCTTTTCATGTGGACTTTCCTTCTCTGTAAGAAAAAACACCTTTTCAAAAGTCTCTTTACCTCTTTTTTTTTTTTTTTCAAAGGCTGTTGTCTACAGAACTTTTAGAAACATTCAGTCTAATGCCTTTATTTGACATCTGATTTTCCTGAGGGCTGGGTGCTGCTCCAGCACTGAATGACCATGGCAAAGGCCCAAGAAGAAACTGGATAAAGGGCAGCAAAGAACATCATGAAGAGTTCATTAGGAAGTCGCCTGTATTTCTCCTTTGGGGATCTTTCTGAATTTCCTGTTTTATTTTAATTCTCTTGTTTCTAAGAAACAGTTCAAAATAAGAATGTAAAAAAATCTATTGCTTGGAATTGGATGTACTTCTGGTGAGTGGAGGAAGGTAGTTTGTACAGCAAAACTGCATAGTTTTCCCCTCAGAGTTCCTTGGGATGAAGAGGAATTCTTGCCAGAAATTGAACTCCCATCCTCACTCCCAATATTACTAAATGCAGTTCCCAGAGCTCCTTGGGGTTACATTGCAATTGGACATGAAATCTCTCTGCTTCAGTAAAGTAATTTCTGATTTTCACTTACATTTGGAGAGAACTGGAATGTTGGAAAAAGACCAGAGGTGGTTTCTTCTCCACAGACGATGGGTGAACACGTCCTAACCTAGATATATCCATTTCTGAAATAATTTTGGATAGATTCTTGTGTGCTGCCCCCCCCAGCCCATCTGTCCCCAGGTTGGGAGATGTGCTGATCTTGCTCCTCATGTTCTTTGCTGAAGTTTTCCCAGTTATGGTGTTGCACAGGAAGACTCCAGAAAATCAGCATCTCCGGGAATGTTTCTCCTAGTTTGCAGTAGGATAAATGGAAGGGCAATAGTTTACCTAGAGCAATAGTAGAGCTTTCTCTTGCAGCTTTCTTCTCCTACCTTTTCTGTCTTCTGAACTCACAGACTGTAAGAAAACATTGTCGATCAATACCTTTAAATACTTGTAGTCTGCCATTGTGTTTATGTTATTCATTTCTCTCCTCAGCGGGCTGTTCTAGTCCTCACAGAGGTGGGATAAGTTAATTTGCCTTGTAAATAATCTGTTCTGCTAATCTTTTCTCAAATCTGTGAGATTTCTAGGCTGTTTGAAGTCCAGCACAGAGTGTTCATCTCTCTTTTATTTTGGTCTGTACCAGGAAATGCCTACAGAGAATGCCTGGGCAATGGGACGTGGGCTTCCAAGATAAACTACTCTCAGTGTGAGCCTATTCTGGATGACAAGGTCTGTATTTTTCCCTTCATTCTTCTCAATGACATTTCTCATACGTGAATGCAAAGCTAAACTTAAGGTTAACGTACTAATTTGGGACTTTGGAGAGAGATTCCATTTCTGTCTCTGCAACAAAACCCCCCTGTGAATTTTGGCAAATCACTTGTCCTCTCTCCATATCCCCTGCTCACATGGTTTTTAAAAAAGGATGCTTTTTATCACACTCTGTCCCTGCTGATGTATGTTTATGCAGATTTTTCCTTGCTTTGTTCAGAGCCTACAGCTGCTACAGTAAATGTTAGTAATAATAACAGTAAGACCAAAAGCCTCTTTGGCACTAAAAAAATAAGTTTAACCAGCTGATTCCACCCTATACCTGTCCATTCTGAGGTCTCATCAACAACTGACCTTTACAGATCTCAATGTCATTTCTCCTTAAGCAAACATGTAAAGGGGCAGCCAGAGAAAAATACATAAAAAGCAGACTCAGGTCTCAGCTGCCTTTAAAAGATTGAACCAGCCTTGCATGATAGAGGAGTTTACAGATTGCAATTAGCATATGGGGTTAAGCTCCTTCCAAAAGGCTGCAAGCAATTATGCAAAGCCCTTTTCTTGTCAAATGTCTCAGCTTTTCTTGGAGGCATCACAGACATTCACCCTCACGCATTAAGCCTTCAAGCCTTTCACGCCAGGCTCTCTTCCTCTCCCTCCTGTTTTGAGTGCTGTGGTGGGGCAGGAGCACACACAGTCCTCGTGCTGTGTCTGCCAGGGGTGACTGTCCCCTCTAAGAATCAGGGTGCAGCCCAGCAGCTCGGGTCTGTTGAAGTTTTGGGGTTCATCCAGCCCATTCTCTGGTTGTAGTTGTGCTGTGCCAGTTGCAGGGGCTAGGGGGGAGAACAAGGTCCCACATTTAGCACTCAGGAACTCTCTGGAGTAGTGCTGTACCCCAAACAGCCAGGATGTGCTTTGTCTTAGGTCCAGAATCCATCCTGTGAGACCCCTGTGCTTGCTCAATGTGTGGGCTTTGAACCAGTGACTCAGAAAACAGGTAACTACACACACCAGCTGCTGAGGAGGAACCTGCTCTTACCCACTACCTAAGTTATTTGGTGGTACCCACATCCCCCCTCCTTTTGGCTCTAGAGGCTTCTAGAAATTAGGAAAAGATGTACCAATACCTGAGTGCCATCCAGAGGGGCGATCCAGCAGAGTGATAATGCTCTCATGGCAATTTAAACTGACCTAAGTTAGGACTACCCCAGTGCAGCCCCTCCTTACATTTCTTTCCCACTTAAAATGAAAAACTAATTCATTGCTGGGTCATTTTTGGGGATGATTCAGTTCCCTAAACCATTTTATTGCACTGTTGCAGGAGTGCTGGGGCCAACACAGGCACGGGGCAGTGCGAGCATGGGTGGGATTGAGGGGGACACACCGACCAGCTCTGCCTGAAATGGTTTATGTTATCACTCCTGTGAAACCACCCTCTTAAAAGTGAACAAGAAAGAGGGTGTGGAGCAGCCAGTGCTGGTTCAGAGAACGGGGAGCAGAGCTGGGTGAAGGTTCCTTATCTTTGATGTGTTTTAGCTGGCACAGGAAACCTGAGCTGATAACAGTGTGCTGTGCCTGCTCAGGAAAGTGCCGCTGCATTTTAATGGCCCTCCTCATGTGTTTGCATGACTCCAACAGGTGCTGTCTCTGCACCAGCAAATACAGAGGAGTTTTGTTTGAAAAGGCTGGAGAAGTGTTGTGACTAGAGGACAGGATTATTTGCCTTACTCTGTTTTTTGCTTTTAAAAACTTTGCAGCTATGGTGATAGCTTAAAACCACTCAAACAGCGTGTTTCTTAAACAGATGAAAGCGCAGATGTTCCCCCACCCTTGCTTACAGAAGCTTAAAATCTCATTTGTTAGATCTTCAGAGATTTGCAGCAAGCTTTGCAAATATTAATATTTGTGAATGTTTTTGAAATCTCTCATAATGCTCGGTGTTACAGATGAATACTTGCTTTGTGATCTCAAAAAAAAAAAAAAAAAAAGGAAAAAAAATCCCCACAGATTTTTCTAATGCTCCATTTTGATTAAAGGTGAGATTCAGGCACGCACATGTCTCTTGTTATTTATTGACTGAGCCTAGCAGATGATAAGCATCAGCCAGGAGGTGTGCCCTGTGATTTGTGTTTATTTTTAATACAGAAAACAGCACTGCTGTCAAGCTTGGCCACTCGCAGCCAGAGTGCTAAAGAATCACATGGTTTGACTCTGAATTCAGTGACTGATAGATGGGACAGGAGCAAGCCCCATGCCCAGGTCTACCTGCTTTATGGCAGAGTTTTGATCATGTAGCAAGGGAAATTTTAGGGGTTTTTCATCAGGTGTGCATTCAATCTCAGGGGGCATCAGCTCAGTGACACACGTTCCCTGGGTTAAATCAACACTCTACTTGTGGTCGAGACCTGTGGCAACAGCTGATAAAACTCTGCTCTGGGACTGATTTGCTCATAGATTCCCACTTTGGCTGGGATCTGATTCCATGGGTGGTGGAGTTTAAAATGTCCCTGTGTGTCTCCATGTACCTGGCAGGTGACAGTCCTTTGGAATACCTGTGCTCTTCAGGTCTTTTATGGCCAGAGAAGGGCAAGGAGATGGGGAAGGGTCTGGAGGACAAGTCTGATGAGGAGCAGCTGAGGGAGCTGGGGGTATTTAGCCTGGAGAAGAGGAGGCTCAGGAGAGACCTTGTCACTCACCACAACTGCCTGACAGGAGGTTGTAGCCAGGTGGGGGTTGTTCTCTTCTCCCAGGTAACAAAAGTGACAGGACAAGATAAAATGGAGTTGTGCCAGAGGAGGTTTAGATTGGATGTTAGGAACAATTTCTTCTCTGAAATGGTGGCCAGGCATTGGAAAGGCTGCCCAGGGAAGTGGTGGAGTCACCATCCCTGGAAGTGTGCAAGCACATGGATGTGACCCCTGGGGACATGGTTTAGTGGTGAACACAGCAGTGCTGGGTGAACGGTTGGACTCGATCTTGGAGGCCTTTTCCAGCCTTAATGATTCTGTGACTGAGCAGCAGCAGCTGGAGGTCAGTCAGCAGGGCCATCTGGGAAGCACAGAGCCTGCTGAGTGCACCTCAAGGGTCACTGGACATCTGTGTGTGCACAACTGCTTCTAGCCCTTGCTTCTGACATTGGGTGGATACCCAGGTGTTGGTGTCCTAACGTCAGACTGAATCTCACCCTCTGAACAAATAGTTGTCTTCATCTCCAGGCACAAGAATAAAGTACAGAAATAATTTTGATCAACTGGCTGCTTGATGGCACATCAAGCAAATGCAAAGATTCTTCTCAACCTACAAGCTCCTGTGTCGAAAGGACCTTTGCTTGTTAGAAGTAAAACGAGAGTCTCAGGCAGCAAAAAAAGTACATCTTAGCCTCCAAAAAGGGCTATAATTTAGGAACTTTGGTCTTGTCTATGCGGCCTAAGGCAGCTGGAAATGAATTTGGTTCTGCTGATGTTTTGAGGTGGCTTCAAGCTGCGTAGCTGAGTTAGCACCATGCTGGGCTTAAGCTAATATATCCTGCATAGGAGCACAGCCACACCAGGCACGGCTACGCAGCTTCCAGCTGGCTCAGAACAGGAAAGCAGTCAGAGGCGTCTTGGATGACAAAGATACTTCCCAGTGGCTTCTGAAAGTCTTTGGAGAGGAGATGTGGTGTCTTTAAACTGTGCTGGTGATGAGATCATTCTGGCAGCAGGAAGAAATCCAAAGTGACTGAACTGGCAGTGGAGTGCAGAGCCCCACAGGGAGGCATGAGCTGTAAACACTGGCAGGACCTGCCAGTAAGTTCTGTTAGAGGGAGAAAAATCCTTGTCAACTGGACTAAGAGTGCTGTCATTAGGTGGTCATTAAGTCAAATCATTGGCTGAATTGGTTTGGACAGGTTGGCAGTCACGTTCTGGCTAAAGCAAGGGGAAAAGTGCTCTAGGCAGAACAACTCTATGGTTAGCCTGAAATGTGGCTGCAGGGAGCCCACCATGCCTTAGATTTGCAGGGCTGGTGCAGGTAAAGATATAAGTATGTGCTTCCTCAGTTTACCTGGTAGAAGCTGGTGGGAGACACCTCTGCACTGTCTGGGGTAACATCATTGTTGTGTGTAATGGAAGAGGATTCCAGTGGTGTGACCTGCTGTGATCAGAGAGCAAGGCTGCTGGTGTCCAAACAACCTCTGGATTCCCCATCCCTGCAAGTGTCCAAGGCCAGGTTTGGATGGGGCTCTGAGCAACCTGGTCTAGTGGGAGGTGTCCCTGCCCATGGCAGGGGCTTGGAACTGGACGATCTTCAAGGTCCCTTCCAACCCCAACCATCCTGTGATTCTATGATCTCCTTTTCCAGCTCATTTCTAATGTTAAAACCCTCCTCCTGATCCCGAATAGAATTTATATCTTCATTTCAGTGAAGTGAAACATCTTCCTGGAAGCAGAAGAATATTGGGTAACAGTAGAAGGTTGTTGACATTTTAAATGTATTGGTCTTCACGAGGGCGAGACAGAAGAGAGTTATGAAAGTGTTTTACACAAACTGAGCTTTGGCCAACGTATGACTGATTCTGAGCACGTGTTTTTCAGCCCTGCAGGTTCCATCTTCAATTCTACCAGAGATGCAGATTGCATGTAGGCTGATGGAAAGTGATCTTACCACCCTGTCAGCTTAGTTTTTCATAGGCACCAAGGCAGTTCTCGTTTCTATGATATCTGAATTTGCCTTCAGGAAGCCTTGTTAGTGCCAGAAACTGAAAATATGAAAGTCGTGCCTGTTTTTTCCCTTCAGTGCATCAAACAGGAGCTTCATAATTTTATTTTTTCCAACTAATCTTCTAATGTTTTGAAACTTGAGTGAAGTTGAAACAGTGGTCAGGAGCCAAAGGATGGAGCTGAAGGGTCAGACTCAAAAGAGCAGGATCCTTGTCCTGGGAAAAGTGTTCTTCCAGAAGATATCTAGCACTACATGAGCAATTCTGAAGAAAGTTCTTGGTCATTTGGTTTAGTTTTAGGTAGTCCTGCAAGAAGTGGCGATTTGGATTCAGTGGTGCTGATAGGTCCCTTCCAGCTTGAGATATTCTGTGATTCCACGGCTTTATGAACTAAGCAGGACAGTAATTAAGCCATGCAGTTTACCAGGGCACTCCCTCAATAATACAGCATTGCACAGGTAGGCACATCAGGTCAAGTGTGTTTTCCTTCCCTTCAAGTGTCCCTGTGTCTTAAGGCTAAATAAAACTCAGTGTGGAATTTGGATTTTGTGGGGTTGTTTTGTTGGTTTTTTCTTTTCTCCCTCAAGGCAATTCACAAAATGGGCCTGTGGATGGGGAAGTTTATTTTAGGGGATTTTATAATGGACTCAAAAATACCTTGCATGGTTGAGTTCTGTCCAGAAGCAGCACATTACTCCATGTGCTGAAGATATAGGCAGGTTTCATCACAGAAATGACTCTAAGAGAGTTTTTTTGGCAAAGTGCTGGAAGATGCTATCTTCACAGAACAATGGAACAGATTAACTACAGCTGCTGGTTGTAGTTTCAGCCAAACATTCATTCAATGGCAAATTCCTTTGACTGGAATAAAATGTTAAGGGAAATTGTTAGGGGGAAAAAAAAAATGGAAAAAGGAAGTTCAACCAAAATTAGAAAACTGGTGCCATTTGTGGGATTTTGCTTTTATATTTTTGTCACAAAGGAGGAAATGTAGGTGGTTAGTTTTCAAGGGTCTCGTTCTTCTGAAGGAGGACAACATCCCGAATTGGGGGAAAGATCTGCTTACCCTGAAAAGAAACAAATGCCAAACATAATAAATAAGTATATTTTTCAGGAGGATTGGTTCTTTCAGTAGCAAACCTCTGTCCCTTTCTAAGCAGCTTCAGTATTTATCTGAATAGTGTTTTTCTACTTCATCCATCAGGGAAAGAAAGGAGATGCTTCTCTTTTCTGAAGCCAGCAGCAACCCACCAATAAAGAATGTTCCAGTTACCGCAAGGCCAAATTTTTGCTCATACCCCTAAATTCACTGATTTAGGTGGGAGCTGTTTTGTACCTAATTTTTTGCTTGCAGGATCAAGAACCTACCAGTAATCTCCCCCCATCCTAGGAAACAGACACCAACTCATGAAGCTTTATCACATACTTGGGTTGCTGCTAAAAGCAGCAGGATCTCTGGTTTGTCAGATTATCTCAGGACTGAAAGGACACCACCAGATTCCAGCTCTTTCAGGCTGCATTGGTTCTGCCCTTGGTTTGAAGGATAAGGATCGTAGCTTGCAAGGAATGCCCCTCAGAGGAAAATTTGCCCGTATGGAAAGGCCTTATTACTTCTTCTCACTGATTTTTTTGTATGAAAACCAAACCATTTGAGTAGGGAATTGGCATAGCCTGCCTCATAAAAATTGTGCTGTTTCCTAATAAAATAATGTTTTGTAACTTCTGAAACTCTGGGCAGATGTGTCTTTGGTAGCTTTGTGGCCCTAAAATGACATAGTTTTAAAATAGCATAATAATGAAAACAAGAAATCCTGATGAAATTTCAGGGAAAAATAAAAAAAGAAGTGGGGAGAAAATAACTTTTTTTGCAGATATTTGTAATAAACTGGGCAAATCCCACAGTGAAATGACACCAAACCTGTACTTCCGTGCCTGGGCAATATGTTTTGCTTTATATATAGACATCAGCCCTGGGGCTATTATATTATTATAAGGCTGAAATAAGTAATTACTGTTTTCTAAACTGATTAACTGTTCCTTAATGTCAGTGCTCAGAGATTCATGCTGATTTAATCCTGTTATCTCTTTACCTCCAGAGGAAGTATGCGCTCCATTACAAGATTGCTCTCATCATAAACTACCTGGGGCACTGTATTTCAGTAGGGGCCCTTATAGTTGCCTTTATGCTTTTCTTGTGCTTGAGGTGAGTAAATGTGTTTTGCATGCTTCTAACTTCCACGGGTGACACTTAACTGGGCTGCTCAGGCCCTCTGATAACTCTGTCCTGGTCTGGAAAAGTGGTGGTGGCTTCGATGTCCGTGGTTTTGTTGACTAACGCGCTGGATGGGCTGTGCTGGAGCCTTCTGTGCGTAGGAGCTGAAGCCTGTTTGTGCTCAGGGAGGGAACTGTGCATGATTTATTGATGCAGCACAAAAGTTTTGGTGAGCACAGAGCGCTTCATTACAGGGACACCGGGATTTGAGTCTGTCAAGTAGCAAGTTTGGGGGGACAAGTTTTCTTTTTTCTTTTTCTTTTTCAACGTAAGGCAGCGCATGATAACATGAGGCGTTTTGCATTCCCTGACAGATAATGCCCAGATCTAAAACCGAAGGAGATAGAACGAAATCTTTCTGTTTTGCTTTGGGTTAATTTTGATTTTTCTTTCATTAAAAGCTTAAGACGTTTTCTTAAATAACAAGGGGAGCATCATTAGAGGAGCTTAATCCCCACCAGTCCCCACGAAACGATGAATGCAAATCAAGGAGACTGCACAGGAACACTTGCCTGGCTCAGGGTACAGAAGGGAGTTTGGCAGGTCCAGTGGATATGTCAGTGAAAATTAGGTCTCCAGGGAAAAGAGAGAGGACAGGAGGAAAGGAAAATCAGTGGAAAGTAACAGGTAGATGTGCATCAGTCATCCAATGTATTGTAGGCACAAAGCCTGAGTCCACAGGGATATATTTTTGTAGGGAGTGTCCTGGTGGGTTATTTGTGTATTTTTTCTTGGATTACCTGACTGGTGTTCCTGTACTGTTTGTGCTGTGTTGTCTAAAAGAGTTCAACCTGAGTTTGGAACCACCTCCACTGAGTGCTGTGCAATGATAATTTCCTTGAGAGAAACCTTATTCTAATAACAGAGGATAAACTGCTGTGGAGGACCCCTCTCCCTCCCCTCCCCAGGTTTACAACTCAATTATTGACAGTGACCTCAGGGAAAGAATTCCTGTCTTCCTAGAGAGGAGCATCCCTGCAAAACCTTATGCAAAGTCTTCCTCTTGAACATTCCTAACAAGGTCTTTTCTACTAACGATACAAATCTTCTTGCACTCCAGTATCTATAAGCAGAATAATCTATGCTAATGGGAAGGAAAAAAAAATTTAAAACATTCAGTGGGAACTTTTATGATGCATCAATTTAAACTTCTATTTCAAGCCTTCTACTGTGCATATAAAGCTGATTCCCATAGTGCTTGGAGACCTGAATTAATTTACACTGAATAAAGAACGCAAATTATTCATTGTAATTATATTCCCTGCTTCTATGCTGAATCTTTTACAAATGCTTGAGTAAATAACACAAAAGCAATTAGATAAGATGGTATAAATGTATCCAGCTTTGAACACAGAAGTGGCCCAGCTGATCTCTTTTAACTTGTTCTTCTGGTATTTAAACTTTGACTTTAAGATTTAAATTTTCCAGTCAGCTTCAGCATTGAAAACAACAATGGAGTAGCAGCAATTAAGCACTTCCCTGTACATGCTGGGAATGAAGATAGTCTGTCTTTTCAAATTCCCATTGTATCATGCAAAAAATGTCCGGTGTCCAGCCAGCATTAACCAGCACGAGATACCTCAGTGTCTGTCGAGCTACATCTGCTTTCCAAAGTTGCAGAGATGCTCCAGTGAAGGCAGCCCAGGCTCATGTTTCATTACAGGTTGCCCCTGTGCAAATTCTAGGTTTTTCACATCTCTGTCACACCTCTTCAAAGTGCCTCAAGAACAAATCGGTTTTGACAATCCATTCCAGTTATTTAGGGCTTTTTTTCCCAAATTGTTTTAGTTTGGGTGAAAGAAGACACCTACTAATTGGGTGAAATGAGAGAGTTTAGGTAATTCCTGGCAAAAAAAAATAAAAATACAGTCTGATAGTTTCACGTCTTGACCCAAAGTGGAATCTGTAAATTCCTTTTTCCTGCCCCATTCCATCCATCTAACTCACTCCACGAGTGCCTGCTGAGGGTGAAGATAGAGGAGACCTCCAGGAAGATTCAAATTCTATGACTGCTCCACATTCTTATGCTTCTCACCCACCATCTGCTTGATTCTCCTCAGCCCTGTCAGTGCGGAGTCCCAAAGGCAGTGCTGTCTGCAAGAGGAGACAGGAGCACACCTGCTTTCATGGAACACAACTGCTTGGAAGGCTGTGGGGTCCCCCCCACTGGGGGTTTTAAGAGCAGGTGAAATATGTGGTTTCCATGGCAAAGAGTATTGCTCTGGTGATCAGACATGGGTGTGCTGCTGCTGGAGATGAACTTCTGCCCCAGCCCAGGGAGCTGCTGCATTGCTGGGAGACTTAGTCCTCAGATGTGCTGAAGTGGGAAAGAACAGGATCTAGTCCCTATTATTCCAAATCTATTCTGTGTCGTCCTGTCCCCTGTTCTGTTCTTCCTCAGCTCTTTACGCAACCTTCTGCCCTCCATTCACAACCCGCAGAAATCTTCTCCTGCTCTAAAATCTAAGGAACCCCACACCTATTTTGATGGTCAGAAGTCTGAGATGCCGCAGGAAGTAACGAAATCATCTGCCATTTGTGTCTACGAGACCCCCAACACAACTGGGAAGGGATGAGAACTCAACCAGGGCCTCCTTTTTGCTGTGAAGACTATTCTAATCTCATTTTCCCCAGTTCTGTCACAAATGAACCAATCCTTTATTGGTTGTGCCAAAAAATAAGCCTGTAAACATTTCATTTAGCACCTTAATAATAGAAAATGAAGGAGAGGCCTTGATTGTTGTTGGCACTCTTGACTGAATGCCAATGAGTCATTGAGATCTGTCCTAAAGATCTAAATCAACATTAGTTCCTCAAGGTCTAAATGTAGGTGGTCTGAAAACTCTGAGGGACATGTTCTGTTTACCATGCAGAACAAAACAAGCCCACAAACAAAGAGAAATATGCTGAGAATAATAAAAAAAAAATGTAGGATTTGTGCACAAAGTGTTCTGTTGAGGTGCACTGATCTGCAAGGGAGGATCTGGAGAGATTAGCTCAGGGCACTTCCCATGTCACTGTTAAAGGTGTCCACACTGCTGTGGATCTCATGGCCTGTACGTTCTCATTCATAGCCAAGGTTTGATCCATCCCACAGGTGCACACAGACAATTCCCACTGACTCAGCCTCATCATCCCATCAAATCCCATTCTCACAGCAGTAAAGCAGGAGTTTTTTGTAGGAGGAAACCCGCTGCCAGTAACACCAATCAAGCTGGAGACAAAAAAAAAATTATAATTTAAAAAAAAAAACAAACCAAAAAGATTGAAATGCTTCTTTTGAATCATATTTTTCCCTTATTGTTGCTGATAATTCAGGAACCCAAATTTGCTGATAATGCAGAAACCCAAAAGCCTTGGCATGGATTTTCCCTCGTTCGTGTGCTGTTATAGCAGCCTCTGAGAGGGAATAAGCGTCCCTTGTAAAACTCCTGACTTGTTATTAAACCATGTGCTGGCAATGGCCAGCAGTGACCTGACTGGATTCAGTCAGAAAATGTTTTATTTGTTCAGTGGTGATTGAAGAAGAAGCAGGGGACGAAAGGTATTCGTTCTGGGAAGCGTCTAAGTCCCTGCTGAGTTTTCAGTCCAATAAATGATGGTGCTGAAAGGGAGATAAGCTGAAAATTAAAAAGGACGTCCTTCTGCACGGGTTGCTGGATAAAGGCAGCTCTAAAAAAAAAAAATACAAAGCCACAAACACTGTCACAACATCCTTTGACACTTGTATAGTGGTAACGAAAGCTAGTCGAGGTTTTGAGGGAAATTTTGCTTTCTTGTTGCTCCTAAATTTACCTCTTTCTATTTCTCCATTAAAGCACCTGATTTCCCACAGCACTGAGGCAGTGTCACCATTCTTCCTTATGATTACATACAGATTTCCTAAATCCATCCCACATATTATTTCTTCCCAAAAGATTGAAACTTTTTTCCCTGAAAAAACACAGCTACTTTTTTTTCCCTTTTTTTCCTCCTAACTATCTCCCAGGGTTTAGGAGAGGAAAATCTACTTTTTTTTTTATCCTCCCCTGCTCCAAGCTCCTTTGAAATGCCCCTTGGTGTTCAGTCTGGTGTGCAGCTGGCAAGAGTGCTGCTGCAGGTCTCTGTGGGGAGGAGTGGAAGAATTTGATTAAATGCTTTCTAGAAACCTGTCAGAAGAAATGTAGAGCATAAATACAGAGCAGGTTTCATAGAGCAAAGCGATCTGACACCCATCAGAACCAGGAGACTGAGGATATACCCAGTGGGAGGAGATCTGCACAGTTAGTACTGGTTTGCACTTAAAAGGGATGTGCTGCCTGGTGTGGTTAGAGCAGAGCAGGCTCCAGATCTCAGGTGCAATCACTCCATTTGTGTCTTCCTGTTGTGGAACAAGGGAAAAGAGCAAGTCCCGGGACAGGACATCAACTGACTGAATTCACGAGCTCATGTCAGTGTTCCATGATCCACCCTCATCTCCTGACTCCCCACCCAGCTGAATTAAGTTTATTCCATCTGCCACTTGGAATGGCAGAGCCTTCATTAATGATTCACTGATGGCATTTTTTAAACTTCATCAAAAATCCCAGAGTGGAGCACGAGTGAGGTGTGTGCAGCAGGTCTGGGGGACAGCGCCCGCTCTGTCAGTCCACAGTAAAGTCCCCAAAGCAAGGCAGGAGTGAAAATGAGGGAGCTGAGTGGTAAACAAGCACACATGCAATGAGAGGGTTGTCTCTGTATACAAAGCATCTGAAGTGCCTGTGCTGCCTGAATCCACGTGAAGTGTCTCATCTCAGCAGCTCAGATAAAGGACAGAAACGCTTTTCCCGCTGATTAACCTCAGGCCATTGTCTTTGCTTCCCACTGCCTTCACTCGCCCCCTCTCATCTCACATCTGTGTGACTCGTTCTTTGGGCTCTTTGTGTAGAGCCTACCCCACACAAAAGCCACAG